CCCGCACCCCCCCCCCACCACCCCCCCCCACACCCACCCTCCCACCCACACCCCACACCCACATCCACACCCACACCCACACCCCACACCCACACCCACACCCATGGTCTTCTTTGGTATGAAGTCTATAGGAAAATGGCTCGTGAGAAGACAATTTCTAAATAATACGCAATATCGTTTCTGTTTATGTGGTCCTATGTTAAATTATCGTTTGTTTTTTCCGCCTCTATGCTGTTACTCGTATGAGCAATAGTGAAAAAGTCTTTTTTTTGCGTTCTTTCTTGACATCGTAGACATATGTAACTTATTTTTTTATGGCAGTATAATTGAAGAAGTGAGTAAAAATGCGAGCTATGCACTCTCTTTTGTGTTCTGTATTTAAATAAATATGATTTTTTTGTTGTTGTTGTAGATCGACATTTCTTAGCAACAGTCTTGTTACTTAAAGAAAAAAAATACGCTGAACATCAAATAAAGCCGCAATATAGAAAACCATATATTATTTTAAAAAATTGCGAAAGCATCTGAACTTTTATACTTTCTAAAAGTCTTCTACTGGTTCTCAATAACTCGAGGAAACAAAATCTAAAACCATTATTATTCTTCAAAGCAAGATGATCCTGAATGAAAAATAGATCTTGCTCAATTCCGACACGTGCAGCAAGAAATTTATTATATTTCACGGTAGATAATGAAATGAACGAGAAAACTTCAACTTTTTTCTTTCCTCAATCACTTCGAAAGAAATAGTATGTAGGCAATAGTGTTACGTCAAGATCAGCTTTGATAATTGATGTAAAAGTTTGCTATAAAGTCGATTGGATTCTTTCCTTTTCAGATAATATGACTGATGAATTAGATAATCCTGGTGCTTCTTCTCTGGAAAATACTCAAGAAACAATACCTAATGATGATAAAACATCAATATGCCAAGATTTTATGAATCGAATACAGACGTTGAAGACACTTCCAACAACAACAAAAGAATCGAAGAAACAAGTATGGCTAGAATTCATTTCTCTCTGGTTCGAAATTCTTCAATACCCTTCTTTCAATGTTCAATCATGTTATGATGAATGTTCTCAGCTTATACCACTGCTATATACCTCAACTAATTTTTATCTATTAAAAAGAGAAAAAGATGTCGCTCGACAAAGTTGTTTGTTATGTCTTTCTGGACTCGATCAACCACACATCAAAGATTACTTATCATCGACGAATGACGCCGATGAATTATCAAAAGGCAAAACATATCATTATCATATTGATTTTCTTTTAAGAATCCCCTCACAGTCAGCTTTATATTTATCATCTCCATCAGTCGAAGATCAAAAGGTGCTAGATAAATACACCGAAGTTTTTATTTTACTTATTGAACGTATTGAAAGATGTATCCCAAAATATTTAGAAACAACAGCAACACAAAATAAATATGAATTGGGTGTCCTTAATCAACGTGCTCTTGACTTAATATGGAATTTAGTAGATATAACAGCATTTGTACCGACATTTTTAAAATGTGGTTTACCCATGAAAGTAGTCGGTTGGCTTACTCAAGCAAATAAATTGACAGAGAAATGTCGTAGACCTTTTCTGAGTATTGCTCATAATATTTCTCGACATGATGATGGAGCCGATGAACTCAATAAATATGGAGCTATTGATGTTATCAAACAATATCAGAATACGTAAGTTTGATTGATTGAAATGTCGCTGTTAAGATGTTCACTTTTTTTAGAAAGCTAGAAGGGAAAGATTCACGGATTGTTCTTGTTGCAATGGTTTTGGCTCTTCTCTCTACTCCTGAGCAACTTAAAAGTGATACGAAAGACATGAATGTTGTGCTTAATAAATTGCTACAACTTGTGATGAATGCTGCTAAAGGTCACCTTCACCGTTGTAATGGTTTTCATGTTAGTGAACCTTTGGCTGTTTTGGTTAAAATGTTCGTAGTGGAAGAACGAACACTTGATTATATACTTTGTCATGCTGAAACTGAACCGCCAACAGATATGCACTCGACTATTCGTTTATTTATTTCCTTATTCTTCGAGTTTTCTAATGCATTACAAGGAACAGATCGTCTCGATCAGTTTACATGCATAGCCCTGTTGAATATTCTTTGGAGTATATCATTTCAACCACATCATGCACAAGAATTAATTGGTAAGGAAAAATTGATAGATACAATCCAACAATTTACTGAAGATAATAAGGAACAAGAAATTGTCGAACAATATAAACCAAGATCAATGGAAGGTATTAAACCAGCAGCTAATGGCATTTTACACAACCTTAATAAAGATAAGAAAGACGATACAATATCCAATGACCAGATTAATTTTCGTGATACTCCGGTATCAAATTCCACGAAAGAGTAAAGAAGAGAACTTTTATAAATGAATTGAACAACGTTCTAAATTCGATATTTCTAGAACATCCTGCAAACCAATGATTATGATTAGTTATTGTCATGCAGATAATGATTTTTGCAGTCAATTACTTCATTTTTTAGCAACACGTAATGATGCATTTGATGTATGGATTGATCAAACTCATTGTCAAGGAGCTGCTGATTTATGGGAACTAATTGCTGATGGAATTGAACGATCATCTACTGTTGTATGTCTTCTGTCAGGTCAATATTTTGAAAGTAAATCATGTCGTCAAGAATTTATCTACAGTGTCGATTCTCTCAAGAAAAAAATAATTCCTGTAATACTCGAGAATTTTGAACCCAAAGGATGGCTCGGTAAGTAAACATATGATTTACAACTCTATATATTTAAATATATTGATTGCTATTTACAATAGGTATTCGTATGACTGGTTTGAAATATGTTCGTTTTCGTGACTCTGTGCGACCGGATCACAATAAAATGAACGAAATATTAAATACAATTTTACTCTCATTCTCATCGTCAAAGCCATTGGTCCCTAAAACTGATTTATTTTCTTATCAGCATGCCACGCCATTACCTGTTATTCTTAAAACACCAGAACTTAATACGGTTTTGATGCAGTCAAAGCTTGCTGCTCCTCGTCCATTCAATGAATGGAGATCAACTGGTGAAGATATTCATGCTTGGTTTGCATATAATCGACTATCAGAAAAACTTCGCGATTTATTCGATTTTCAAACAGGTGAAGAAATGCTTAGATATGCTCAATTATTAATCAAAGATTATGATAAACAGATGAATATTTATGGAAAACTTTTTGCTCAAAAATATCATGGCGATGAAATGCCTCCACATGAATTTAATAGATTTGCATTAGCTCTAGAACATTTATTAGAAGAAAATCGCCCATTAGCACCTTTTAATAAGCAAAAGCCCCCCGAACCTATTAAATCCACTGCATGTATGATTTTATAAAATAAAACGAAATGCTATTTTCTAAATTCATCCCGCTACCATACCAGCATTTATATCAAATTGAAATACGATTTAAAATATTAACATGAATGTTTTTCAATGTCTATTTGTTGGTACGAATTCTCCATTCCTCAATCGTCTTTTTGTTTGTAGACTCTGCATAAACATCCTTTATCCAATATTGACTCATTTTGCACATAGATAACATTCAGGTGACACTGATGTACTTCCGTCAAGACTGGCAAACGATTAATAGACAGAGTTAGAAGAAGCGGATATACATCATTTGTGCTCTATAGCGAAGTCTATAATTTTTGTAGCAGTACCGCAGTTGCCTGAAAACGAGTGACATAATGAATACGCATTGAATGCAAGACAATTAAACCAGATTTTTTCTCGACGAAGGTGCACATACTAACGACGAATACGTACGATGAAGATAAACAAAACCGATGTTTCCCAAACAAGCAGGCGCTTTGGTTATGTTGGAATTTTCTAGATAAAGGAAACCATCTATATTTATTCAAGGTGTCGAGTATGAAGGTTTTATACAACCACAAACAACTTTTATACTACTTACATTTCTCCGTCTATGACCGTATTAGCTTGCATCAGTATTACGGTTCTATATGAGACAGCGCGCAGACAGGATATGAATACCAATCAGACATGTCGTAAACGGTCTTCGTTTTACTTTGTAACTAGATAATCGTATTGTTCGATAATGTCACAAGTAAATAACTGTATTGATTGATCTGGACAAAAAATTTCATGAATTTAACTCTTTCATCGGATAGAATTCGTCTATGTCGATTGAAAATGTCCACAATATTGCGCACTATCTCAGAAAAATCTTATTTCTGTGTATCGATTATGTCTCGCTATGCCTTAATTGTTCCTCTTCTGTACAAAGTTGTGGGTGTGGGTAGGTGTGGGTGTGGTGTGGGAGGTGTGGGTGTGGCAAGGGGGAAAAAGCGCGACTCCAGTATGTGGAGTACCATTGAAGTACCATTGGAGTACAATTGGAGTACTATTGGAGTACCATTGGAGTACCATTGGAGTACCATTGGAGTACCTGACACTGGTACTCCAATGATACTCCCATGGTACTCCAATTGTACTCCAATGGTACTCCAATGGTACTCCAATTGTACTCCAACTTTTTTTTGGAGTACATGGAGTCGCGCTTTTTCCCCCTTGGGGTGTGGGTATGGGTGTGGGTGTGGGTGTGAGTGTGGGTGTGGGTGTGGGTGTGGGTGTGGGTGTGGGTGTGGATGTGGGTGTGGATG